TGTTTGCAACATTGTGTGTACATAAAAGGGCGTCGGATAGTGATCAGCATCAGCAAACGATTTCTTATCAAACGTGTCTGGGCCAATGAATGAATGTGTCCCCATGTGTATGTCCATGTCATTGACATCCTCGATAAAGTGAAAGTAATATTGTGTTCATATTTGACCTCATGGAGTTGTGCATAATTTAAACGTGTGAAAGACGTTTGAGTGTCTGAAGAATATATTGTGTTGCCAATAAAATAGATTTCTAGTTTTCTTTGCAAACTTAGATTGTTATCTTTAGCTGATAAATTGAACACACCTTGATAAAACAGCCGTTTGTTTCATTATACTTTGAAATATGCTTAATGACGGGTTAAACGTGTTGATCTTTGGCAAACCGTGCTGAAAAGTATATTCCATCGAGTTCTGGTCACCTCAGTGTGGGAAAGAGCCCATTGGTCGGAAGTTTCTTGGCGCGAACATTTGAATTGCCACCCAAATTCATTTCCAACATTGATCTGTGAAACTCTGTGTTTTATTGGTCGTTGTTTACACTGAACTTTTGAATTTGCAAACTGGGATAACTGAGTCTGCTAGCTACAATTTCACGAGTGTGGCAAGCATTTGAAATGGAGAATCCTAGCATTGTTTGCTTCTACAGTTTTCGTTAGTAACAATCTAGCCCCTCGCCGATTTTTAACTTTAAACTGAAGATTACATCGCTAGTACGGATAAAGAGGGTCAATAGAACGTGACAGAAACAGACAATTATTCGACATTTTCGATTTTTTTCAGCAAACGATGCTGAACTTGTTGCTTAAAATAATTTTGAACCAAATACAACATTTTTCTCACCAAACAACATTCTCAAAAGTTGGAATAGCTTAAACAAAACTTTATCCCATAATGAAGATTCGAACTCGAACTTCTTGGATTATGAGATTAAAATTTGGTCTCAAAATAGATTACCTCCCTTGGTTGTCTGTTTCGTTTTGCCGATTATTCCCTCGCGCCACAATTGATATTAAAACACATTTTAAAGGAAGTTTAGGTTAGAATTAAAGATAGTTATTGCGCCAGATATGTATATTTTGTATATTTGTCTTCATATATCGTGTTCATCTGTTAGACATTGTTGCAAGACGGCCGTCATATGATCGATGACAGTACGTTCGAATCTTTTCTCATTAACGTGACATTTTCTTTGAATGTACAGTATCAGTACCCCGACTTCTAACATTGGTAATTTACATACTTTTGCTCATCTGTCAACACATTCAAATATAATTCTTGCGCAGGTGCAAAGGGTCAAAGGGAAGTAACCCTAGCGACGATATTTCTTTGTTAACAGTCAGTCGCATCTCCACACCAATTGTTAACTTTGAGTTCGATTCCAGGCATGTTCATCTCTAAGGGATTCACTATAAGCTTTTTAAGGTTTTATACTTTGCTTGAATATGTATGATCAATCATAACGTAATTAATCATTAATACAATATACCAGCAAATATTTACCTAGTTGACGGATTAAGGCCAAACAAAGGTTAGACCTATAGACATACATGTTGATTGTTTCTCCATAGTGAGATACAACTAAGTTCAAAGACTTTTTTCGAAAACTGTAATACGAAATCATAACTTTTTGTATTTTCAACATGAAACTAATAACGTATATTTAATTAAGTAAATATGATTAATTTCACAAAAAATCTATGGTCAAAGGGAAATAACTCTAAACTTAACTTTACGTAGATTTTCGAAAACTGAATTAGTTTATGATCACAAAATCACAAACAAAAACGAGGCAGACACGTACATAAGAGATGATTACGTTTCCGTATGAAATACCGAGTTTTACATACGAAGTCGGAAGTAAACGGTTTCCGTTAAAATGAACCGACAGAGACACATCAGTATTAAATTGCATTTAACTTTCAACAGGCTTTAAAGTAAGACAAACTAAAATGGTTGTTTTCTACCCAAACTTTAAAAATCGATAACATTTTTCTTACGTAACGAATGCTGGTAATTTCCAAAGTTATCTAGTCTATACAATTACCGTGTATGACAATGTTAGGGGAATTCATTCCAAAACGAATCTGACAGATATTGTAGGTAAAAACATCAACATTCTCGTCATGCAGCTCAGAAAAAGGAAATTAGGTAAAAAAATTGTGGAATCCTAAAGTAATTTACGTAAACACTTATTTGGTTATGTTAAGATCGATTTCTCGACAATACATTGCTGGTCATAGCTAGGGTGTAGTCTTCGTGTTGTCTGTACTGGTTCTCCTGCACACTTGCACAAAGCGATCTTAGCACTAAGATGATCGTAACTCCCATACTTTAACATAGGCTTACAATAGTCGTAGCGCTAAGATCGCTTTGTGCAAGTGGGCCCTGGTGACTCCAGGATATGCAACCAAAATATGTAAATTTAGGTACAAATGGGTTTCACTTAAAATGTAGTACGGCCCACGAGGTGTGAACTGGTATGTTATACAGGTCCGTCTGACAATCAAGCTGGTTAGATCATGTATAAATGACACTGGTTTATGGAGTGTTTTCAGATTCCGAATTCCTGTGGGAGCGGTTTTGAGTGGGTTACTGCTATCAAAGGAGTTTCGTTTGTTTCAATGTTTGAAACGGACTTATCATTGACTCAACATGTAAATTTTGGGAGCGCCAAACCAATAGAACGACAATTTTAGTTTTCATCCGTGTTTTAAATGCGAATCGAAAGCTAAATTCTTTGATATGTGAGTTATATTCATGTAGTCGCCTCTAAAGTGTCATTTCTATACAAAATGCGTGGTCACGTGGACATTTAAGTATGATGTGTCGTATTCATACTTAATACGATATCAGAATACATCAGGTGTTCTAACAATAGGACCAATGTAACCGATAAGATTGACTCTGTGAAGATTAAATTTTTTAATGATCCGCGTACACAAAGTTCTTTAATAAAATATGTCTATTATGTACCTCGAGACACGATTTTATCATTTTGTGTTAAATGGTTTTCAGGCCAACGACCATAATCACTTTATATTTCCGTTTAAATACTTGGACAATTAACATAACAAACCACCACATCAATCCCGAGAGCAAGGAGCCCATCACCTCTAATCTCTCGAAGAGTAAAGGACTTAACTTCCCAACGCCTATCTTTGACATATCTAATTGTTAGTCGACAAATGATTTTCTTCTGTGTTCATAACGTTTAAAGTTGATTAGTTGATTCAGAAATGACAATTATGCCTTGTGTCAATTTTTCACGGAAGATTGATTCGGCAAACAAAATTTCCTTGGATGGCCTCGTGAGAAATGCTCTCTGACACGTCAGGAACTGAGCCCATGTGAGACATATTGGAATATTGGGTGTGCTGGGTGGACAAGGTTATTGTCGAATGGGTGGAAGCATTTGGGAGGAAGGCATAAGAAATGCCATATTTTTAAGAAGAAGGAGTATAAGGTTGGATAGGGGTGTATGAGAGATAGTTGGGTGTTGTTTTACAGTGGAATTACGGGTGGATTACTTCTAGGAACTTCTTTTGTATAGAACAGGATGCTGCTCTGAAATGTCCATTGGTTAATCTGTTAATCGGGACGATTTCACTGGCTAACCTACCGTCCGAATTAATGGTATTTCGTTATTAATGTATGCGGGTTACGTTTAACAACCATCAAATAAATAGAAAATAAGAAAGAGATATGTAATTATTTTTTCTTACAGAATTACAAACTATATATATACATAAATAAATATATATAATAAATTTATAAATAAATATGTAATATATGATCTCGATTGTCTGCAGAAAATGTTCCATTTGACGTATAAAGAAAAATAGTAGTGTAAATTATATTTATGGATCACTGAAAATCAGTGATAACACCAGGTGTTCGCGAAAAAGATTGGCACAAACCGTTCAAAGTGATTATGGCCGAGACGGAATTATTATTCCTCAATGTAACGAAACAACCAGATGGAAAGCGCCAAACGGAACTGTGTATATTAGACGAGACTGTACATAAGTATTCATGTGTTCGTAAAGTAGAGGGAGAAGTGGAGAAGAACAATATCAACAGCCGTATCGAATGATATGGTCAGATAAGTAGTTGGTGAGATAGGAGGGGTTGCAGCTGTAACGGAAAAGGTTCGCACAAAGGATGGTACCACATCAAGATGTAAGATGGGGAGGAGCTACAGAACAAGGATGGGTGTGGCAGAAGGGGAGTTGATACCCTATTCTAAATGAAAGGGAGAATTTCAGAAAACGGTTTTGTTTCAGATGTATGTTAGATAAACCAGGAGTGTTTGTACAGGGTTTCACACTGTAGTGGACAATACAACTGGGGACAGACGTGGTCAATAAACAGAATCATGGTCGCTGAACAATAGATGTAGGGTGTGGGGAGGAGGAGAGGAGGTAGGGGCGTTATTTTAGACGACAAAAAAGGGGGAATTTCAAAGAGGGCCGGGGAAGACCCAGCCACTGACGTGGAAGACGGGGGCTCTGGTTCCAAGGGTATTGTCAAAACGCGATCAACCCCCACCCCTTATCCAGTCCTACCCCTAACGCCACAAAAACGTAGTTTTGAAGGCCGGACACTTGAGACGACCATATATAATGTCCACTCATGTCAAAATTCACAATATATTGCAGCCGATCATGGTTCTATTGTACGTCCGATCAGAAGCATAAATCACCAATTCCGTTAGACTGTTTTTTCCTGCCCCGATTGACACCAGGGGAGGGTAATGGTGTGCGTCGGGTAAGGATTTGGACGAGGTATACTTTAAAGATTAGTCTCTCTCACAGTAGGGTTCCGCCTTGTCATTTTATCAGAACCTGGTCGAGGCTAAATATCCTTCTTTCGACACGTAAATCAAGAAAATTAGATGTACAATGGTAATAAATTGCCATACGCCATGTCAAGTTTAATTCTTGCTACAATGATAGAGCAGAATTTCTCTACCCGTGTAAAACAATTCACAACAAAGAACGGAAATCTATACATTTTATTGCACATTTCATGATTCGAACGGTCTTACACAGATATCATTCCAACATAGATATTTATTGCGGATTTATTACTTTTGTCTTGACAAACATTTGACCATGCTCACATCCAGGAGTAATAAAGTTTTCGCGGATGTGACACTCGACTCTGAAGATTATTTGGCAGGGGAAAAATGGATTTGGTCACCCATTTTTCAGCTATATACTTCATAGGAACGTATAGTTTCATTCTTATACGGGTTGCTCTACAGATTATCAGTTTTCAGGCCGCATACATACCCTTCACAGGCTCTCTTGAGACTGAAATAGAACGAAAAAAATATGTAAAAATGATGCAAATATATACAAGTTACAAAAACATGTATGAAATTATATAGTTTCATAACCAACGCGAACTCATTTCTTCAGCAGTGGAATGATTGTTCAAGTTCATTGTGAAGTTCGACACAATACACAAGCAATGCATTTAAAGACAGAACATTCGAAAACGCGACTAGTCAGTGTAATTATTGAACCAAATTTAAAATTGCTTACTAAATACCCTTTTATTCTGGTATACTGATTTACATAAAAAAAGGAAAACCAGTTTTTAGAACATGGGCGTGTTAAGAGAGCGAAAGTGTATTTCATTGGTGGCTATTTCGGCCTAAATATCTCCTCATCACCCTCAATATGAACAGTATTTTATCGGTATAAAATCGCGTTAGTCCACAGGAAGGAAAATCCCATTTATGTATATATCACAGCTTTTGCGATAGAATATGTTGTTTTCTGGTATCGTGCATACATTTATAGAAGCAGTTTATCTGAAATCTGAAAGATCGGTAGAAAGCTTTCGCCTGAAGGGACGCTATAGAGGGAGGTGCTTAAATAAGATGATGTAGACAATATAAATCATGTCAAAACATCGCTTGTTAAATTAGCCTTTAACCCACTTCGCTTTGGTGTATTTCCCTAGAGGTGGGAACTTTGCAAAAACGCAACCATGGTGAGGAACTAGGAATTGATATTATCTGCATAACTGATTTCAGATACAGTCTCAGTACAGTACTCCTGACGATGTGTTCGTTTGGAGAGAGTTTATCTCAGGACAGTGTGAGCAGCAAAGTGGTTAATCTGTATCGTAAAAATAATACATATAAATGTAAAGTGAGGGCACTGAACTCTCGCGTTTAAAGACCATAGAACGAAATCTGAAGGACTGGTGATAAATCATTGTTATTGTATTTACAATGGTGATGCTATTTTCTGTTTCTATGGTTCCGTTAAAAAAACGTTGTTTTTTTAGAATTGATAATGTTATATTGCTCGGTTTTGTTTCAATAGTATCACAGTATCACCAAATCAAACGTAAATTAACTTACTAAATAAAACCTTATTGTATATTAATGTGATAAATGTACAGTGTTTCTCACTTCTACTGTCCAATTCTCTTCTTAAGACAACGGGTGAAACACAAAAGGAGAATTTCAAGTAATATTGTATCAAAATTTCCTCATATTCTTGTAAGTAAAATCGGAGTATTCCAACAAGTTCACCATTAAGAGTATATAAGTTCCATTTTGTTGGTCATATCAGAGCCAAAGGAAACGGGGAATAATTAGTAAACGAGTGCATTCGTTGGTATTTCAGTACCGCTTTCAATATGAACGAAATTGCTCACCACTGATAAAGAATATTGTTATTAAGATGGAAAAATACATGGACACATAAATATCGTTATTATTTTGCAATTAAAATGAATATTTATTCCGAGATTTAATAACAAATCCTGCGACTGTGATGCACTCTCGATTATTGTTCCTTCGTATTGGTGGTCCGAAAACAGAAACATTAATCTCAATACTTCATCTTCAGCTGAAGCATTAGTCAATTCCTTGATACATACATCGCGTAAACACTCCAGTCATGTATATTTTGCATTAAATCTTCATGACACTTCAAAACAACGAGTTATTTCGTTAAATTAAGGTATTTGTTTATGATTTCAGAAAACGAATATTTGAGTTCACAATCTCATCTCGAACACAGCTACGCAGAGTATCATACTAACAATTCATGAAGCTACTATAATTATTTAATTTTCAGTACAATACAATTATATCAGTATTGCAGTGAAATGCAAGAAAATTGTCACAGTTACATACATTATAAATGAACTGGTTTTCAAATGAAGTAACGAGACAATTGCAATTTGATACAATATGATTATTTGTAAAGCTTCTTTTAAATATAATATCCTAGGGAATGAAAACTTCAGAGGTACTGTAGAATTGTAGCGAGACATACAGATTGGTTATAGGCCCGTTGAAGCCAACTCTTTGCTAATTACATATTCAGGCGCCACCCGGTCTGAGCGGGAACGAAACTATGAAACTCGACACCACAAGTATCACTTATAAGCAACACACAGACAATAAACGCGCATTTTCTGAAATTTGTAATTTACAAATATCGATAACGTTGGAAAAGTCGAAGTGAGGAGAAAATGAGAGGGTTGAGTTGTCGTTGGCATACAAGAGAGTGTGTTTTGTGGTTGGGTCGTTGCTGATTGGCAAGTTAAACATATACCAGGGAATGCCGGGAAATGAAGGTCACGTGATCAATTGTGGCATCTTGCATAAGGTGATAAATCACCATCAATTTATCACGTGTAAAAATTGCTTTTTTCTTATACATAACACGCATAACCTGTGACAGTTTTACGACAAATATTATTGAATGAACGTCAAGTGAGACTGTTAAGTCAAGTTTATGTTTGGATGTTCTTTGTAAGAGTTTTACAACATTTGCTGGGTGGAACAGCGAAGTATGTTTGGACAATCGACATGCATATATAACGATGTCTTATGACAATTATCATAAATAGTTGAACTTTATTCTAAATAATTCGTTTGTTATTTATGATAAGTAGGCAACCTCCTTCACGTAACATCATATAATGGTTCATTTCATCTCATATACGCGCGTCAATAAAGGACACACACAGCGTCTGTCATGCACGTGTGAGTCGTGTGTGTGAAATTGACGATGACATTTATTATTTCAATGACTGCTTGCATGAAAGGAACACGGCCAGAGCATGGTATTTGACTTCTTCTAATGTCACTTTCAAACTTGACACCAACACTCCAAGGGATCAGATTCACGATTAATGAATAAAGGTAATTCGTTAAAAATATGTGTTTATGCACATTGAAACAAACAGTCGACAGTGCAGAATATATTTGGTGTTGTGACTTTGAGAAGTATGTGGGATGTTTATTTAAAATCTTAGGAAAACTTTGTTACTATATCCAGTCTATAAGCATTTTAGAGGTAGATTGTCTTCCTTGGCGCAAAGGTCAGACTACACCAAAGCTCCGCCCAATGTTTATACCTTCCGAAGCTTCTCACCTCGCTCTTGAATCCGATTTCAACATCGTCAACAACTCTTATGGAATTTATTATAAAATAGCTCTCATTTCAAAAGATAACTGATAACAGAGGTCAGGTGTAAGGTTTAAGTCAAAATCCATTATTGAAATTATCTATTTGTAACTATCATTAACAATACACTAATATTCATTATGTTGTAAACGGTGTCATTATAATTCGAGTTTTACGATGAAGGTTAAACTTTGGACAATAGCACAAATTACACGTTAAATTACGTTAACACACCAGTAGCAATCAATCACCGATCAATTTATCACTCACGTATAAACGTAATACAACTTGACCACAAACCCATGACAACTGCGGAAAGATTTTTAAAAAGAAATCGACAAAGGAGTAACCTCTTAAACGAATGTCTCAAATCAAGTTCCTTTTAATTATTTTCCAATCTATCTTCTTGTGTAATATATTAATCCACTTAAGATATCCAATTACAGTAAGAAATAAATCATTTTTCGTGATCTCAATTCAACCCACAATCGCATCTTTCGTAAAAACCTAAAACCTGGATTGTGTCAGTATCGGTCGCCCTGTTAAACACATAAACATCACAGCGCAAGGATTTGAATCTAAACCATTTGTGATAATTAATCCGGCATTATTACCCGTGAGAGAACTTTCTTTAGTGCCCTACTCAATCATACGGAGACTATCAGTGTGTTTCACATGCTTTCCTTGTCTGTTGGGGCCAAGGGATAGCTGATGCCATAATCAATGTTGAAGAGCGTGCGAGAAATTTATCAGCTGACTCTCTTGTGTATTTCATAATGCAATGTACATCGTGTCGGAGTCTATTTACATGATTGTATAAAACACTGAACTTCAATCACATTAGGCTTCGTAGTTATCTGAACATAATTTACAGTGATGAATTAACATCTCTTGTTAAGATATAAAGAAATATATCCTTCATACAGTTCAGCTGCTGAAACCTTTGCCTCAGATGAAAACAGTCTACGTACTGAAGAAAACAGTTATGTATATGTTCATCCTGTGTGCTAACTCTTGCTGGGCACATATACGTTATGCTATCATAGCCACGTCATATAATGTCTAATGATGATACATAATGACATATATAGCAATATAGGAATATATATCATTCATGTTATTGTTGTTATTATTGTTTGATGATGATAATGAGTATAGTTTTCATAACCATATTTACTTACGGGTAACATTATATAGTAATATAGCATCATACCGGGACACAAATCAGAAGGTTATGCAATATCAATCAAGAATATTCATGGTACTGGACAAAGATAGCCAAATAACAAGCAATAGAAGGTCAAATGGAACTAAACTGAAGTATACATTTGAAAATTGGATTTGACCAAAACAAAAACAAATATTATCAAAACGTTACTAGGCTGAAAACAGTCGCCGAAACACATGCAAACGTAAGGTCTAAAACACAACTATATATATCAAATACTTCATCGTCGAATAACAATTTCTTGTTTATTTCATTTTTAGCAACTATCACACATGGGTATTCATTTTCTTTTGCCAGACATAACATAAGTACCGAATAATCATTATCATATTTACATAAACGTCTTTGATAATGCATGATCAAGATAGCCTACAGACCATTGTTCACATTAATTATTCTTTGGAACAGGATGTTCTTTTGAAGGAATTAGTTTACGTATTTTTTCTAATATGCAGAAAGCATACACATGCATGTCTAACAAGAGAGAAGCTTAATCGTTCGATAAACTATTGAATGCAGATGACCGATGAAGTATCTTTCATAAGAGAGAGAAAATATGGATATCAACTTCTGTATTATGAGGAACACAACGTTACACATGTGCTTACTCCTTCATCAGGCGAATCTCTCTTGATGAAGAAGT